GGATGATATACCAGGGGTCCCTAATTCTTCCCTGGCCACAAACCAGAGCACATGTCTGTGGCCTGTTAGGAACCAGCAGGAGGTGTGCGGCCCAAGTGAGAGGAGCTTCATCTGTATTTACAGACACTCGCCATCACTCGCATTACCACCTGAGCTTTGCCTTCTCTCAGATCAGCGGCGGCCTTGATTCCCATAGGAGTGCAAACCCTGTTATGAACTGTGTATGTGAACAATCTGGGCTGCAAGCTTCTTATGAGAATCTAATGCCTGATGACCTGTCACTGTCTCCCATCACCCTCAGATGGAACCATCTAGGTTCAGGAAAACAAGCTCAGGGCTCCCACCGATTCTACGTTATGGCGAGTTGTATGATTATTTCATCATATATTACAATGTAATAATAACAGATATAAAGTGCACAGTAAATGTAATGCACTTGAATCATCCTGAAACCATCCCCCACGCCACTTCTGGTCCATGGAAAAATTGTTATCCATGAAATTCGTCCCTGGTGCCAAAAATGTTGGGGACTGCTGTAATATACAATACGAATTGTTCTGCACCATTCTTTCCCTTAAAATATATCATAGAAATAATTTCATATTGCTACTCCTACTTATACTTTATTCATTTTCATGGCTCCGTGGCATTCCACAGTCTGAATTTAACATACTTTATTTAACCAGTTAGTTTTGGTGACTTTTTAGCTCAGTCTCAGTCTTTTGCTATCATAGAATAGTGCTGAAACTAGGATCCTTGTCCATGTATTATCAAGCATATGTGATGATATACATGTCCAGGTCTTCACATTCAAAGTCCTGATTTATTTTTACTAAAGCTGGGTAAGCAATGGGAAAAGAATAATCAAGTAGCATAGGAGGCATGGTAATAATAATAATTGAAAATAGTTTCTACTATATGGTAAGTAATTTATAAGTATACATTTAATTCTTATAAATCTAGAGAATATATTAATTACTATTATGATTGTCATTGTTAGTACTGATTTAAGTAAGAAAGCTATGAATATGAGAAAGATATGAATTCACCCAAGAAGCTTGTCTTTCGATCCCTTGCTCTTGTTTGCTAGACTGTTTCTTGGTGATTCTGTTGCTACTTTGGCAACGAGAGTGCATTTATTGGCTATCTACCATGTGCTAAGCAGATGACCTGTGTTAGTCACAGTCTTCATGATAGCACCATGATATGTTGTTGTTTAACAGTCTTAATAAGGTTTAGTATCTTGTCCAAAGTCCCAGAGCTAGCAAGCAAGGAGGTAGGAATGACCTGAAAGCAGGATGTCTGACTCTTGAGATTAAGGCACAACAGAGAAGGGAGTTTCAGGTATTGATTCAACATCTAGCAGGCTGGAAGACAGAAAGAAAACTAATATACATATGAGACTTAATTGAACATATTGCAGTGATAAGAGGGATAGGAAGAGCTGGTCACAAGGATCCATGAAAAACAGTTGGTGGCACAACAATAAAAGCACCTGTAGCAGAGAGGAGGGCTTAGTGGTCCGTGTGGATCCAGAATGGAGTCTTCAGGGGGAATGTTTCCAAATCTAGATTGCTTTGTTCTCACCAACTGCTTCAACCATTAAAACATTCCACACCTGTACATTGTATTTATACCTTCAACAACCCCTTGTGACGTGGTACTTGCATGCCCTAGAGAAAGAACAGCCTTGGATGACTGCTCTGAGTTGGACTTTGTGGCCACAGGGAGCAAGTGCCCACATTAGAAAATAAAAGTAAGAGTGCTGAAAAAAGTAGAGCACTGAGATTCTTCAAGGCAGTGCCAATTTCTCCAGGTCAATTTCTTGTATTTTAATCTCTGTTTCTAGCAGTTGCGCATCTTTGAAGGTATGCCATAAGCAGCCATTAAAAAAGGCAAAATTGTAAGACATACAGGTCTAGTAAAATTATGTCATGTAGATCTTATACAAAGTATAATTTTAACTGAAGACTTCTATAGCTGTTGTTTATTATTATTGCTGTTATTATCTTATAAATTAATTTTAGTATTTAGACCACGTTTCTGTGTTTGACCTCTTAAGTTTAGAATACTGAATTTTCCTTGTTTTAGAATATCTCATTTAATGCAGTGAAGTTTTGGTAATATATAATAGAAAAAAATAAAAGGTGTAGCACCAATATGTCAGAATTATATGCTGGTGATAATAAAAATAATAACTAAGATATATAATGAGTGTTTCCTGTGAGTCAGATAATATGCAGTTTTATATACATTATTTGGTTTAATAGTAAGAACCTGTCAGGTAAGTATTACAATTATTACTGTTGTTCCCGTTTTACAGATGGAGTCTTTTATTCTACATTTTGAGATTAACAGTTAGAATGGCACTAAAGCAAACTTTTGTAAAAGAAGAAAATATTTTCTAATTCTACAAAACATCGTTTCTAGTTTAACACTTCTCCTTCCAGTCTTTCTTCAAATATACTCAGTAATCAATGTGTACAATTTTGTATTCTGCTTTTTAAATTCAGTATAGTCATAAGAAGTTGGTTTTATCAGCCTTCCTTATTACCATATAATGACTGCCTATGATTAGTTGCCAAAATTTATTTATTAATTTCTTTTTTTGGAGACATTGTTTCCATTCTCTCTTACAGATATGATTGCAATGAAAAACTCTGTGTACTTAGCCTATTTTATTCTCTGGGAATTTCCTAGGAAGATGTTCCCTCTAGCCAAAGAGAAAAGGTCTTTCTGACTCATTCTAACTTCCTGAGTCAAAGTCATTTTCACAGGAAATAGTGAGCATTATTAATGCTTATTTTAAAATCTTAAGAGAAATGTCTACTTTGAGCTCTTTAGGAATAAACTCTTTCCAGTATTTTAAAGATATAATTTTGAATACATATGTTATTAATATATGGTAATCTGTATAAAACCTAAAGAGTGAATTTTTACATCATTTAATTTTAAAAGTAGGTGAATGGGCTGAGGAGGATGATATATGCAAGATAAATATTTATTCTTCATTGACGTGTATTTCTTGAGAAACTGCTCTTTGCCAGCCCATACAGTGGTTGCCAAAGCTATGATAATGGATGGGATACAAACAGCTCATTTCCAAATAGAACATCACTGAAAGTCCTATCACGGATTCTTTGCCCTTGACATTGTACCACAGCGCACTCTTGTCCTGACATTTCTGATTTCTTTGTTCTTTTGCTTGTATGGAATCTGGCTCATTTCTTACTATAAGCCCAAAACATGAAGGATAAAGAGTATCTTACTCTAAAAAAGATATCTATATCTATATAGATATATAATTTCTAAGAATTTCTAAAATCATATTTTCTTTCTCCCATGCCAGCTCTAGTGGGACTTTAGAAACCCTTTTGTCTTCCCAGGATGAAAGTATCTTGCTTCATAGTTTTATGAATCCCTAAATCGTCTCATCTTCGTTGTATGTATCTTAGGTTGTGTCTGCATACATTTGTCAGTTTATCTTTGCAGCGCTTTAAGCTAAACAGAGATTTTGGGCCCTCCATGGCAGGGATGTCCTCATGTAAAAATAAAATGTAATTTAGGATGTGTATCATGAATTATTAATATCATAACTGCGTTTTCACAGATAGAGATAAAACATTTTAGGTTGTGTTCAGGAGCCAAAAACACGTTAATTCTTAGGTAAAATCAACTTCAGAATTACATTTCAGTGTTTCCCTAAATTTCTCCCTCCCAGAAAGACTTACTAATTTGTTGATAAATATAACTTTATTACTGTATGATATACAATTCTCTTTCAAATTCTACTGTGAAAACTTTTTATTTTGTTGACACTCAAACACTCCAGTGGTAATTCTTTAGTAATAATTTCATCAAGATAATGACTTACCATGTAGATCAAGCCCTTTGCTGCTCCACTGGATGCCTCGCTCTGAAAAATACTGTTATATCATTTTGTAGGTATGTTTCTACGCATTACCTAATATATATTGAAATTTTAGTAAATTCATTATGCATGTGTTGTGTATATTGATCAACCAATAGATACACACTTACATATGATTTTAGTAGACTGACTTTTTGAAGGAAAAATGTGTATTAATATAATGATATCTTCCCAAGCTTAAATTTGCATGTTATCTTTAGCTAACATGCCCAAATTAGTTTTCTTATATTGTTATATAAAAATATGTTTTGAACTTTTAGCATAGACAAGTTTCAAGAATTGGATGTTATAGAGTACTTGTCTTCACAAAAAGGAATAGATGGAGATAATTTCCTTTAAAAAAATTCATTTATTATACTTTAAGTCCTGGGGTACATGTTCAGAACATGCAGGTGTGTTACATAGGTATACACGTGCCATGGTGGTTTGCTGCATCCATCACTCTGTCATCTACATTAGATATTTCTCCTAATGCTAATTTCATAATGTTGGAATACTGATTCCACAGGTCGACTTGGGCTACCTCATTGTAAAACTGGCTCTGCCATTTAACAGTCGACTCATGGGCATCACCAACGTAGCACAGAGGTAGAGAAGAAGATATTAACACGAGGGCATCTGAAAAAGGAGCTGTGATTGATTTTTTAAAACTTAAATTTCTAATATCCTGTAGCCTTAACATTGGGATTGAAGTCCTCCCTGTTGCAACTTAGCACATACCCTACTGTCTGAACTCAAAACCCTAGGAACTACTGAGCTCTGAATGTATTCTTGGTTCCAAATCAATCTTGTCACTCCTCGGAAAGCAATGCAAGATAATAAGTAGTATTCACCTGATTGCTTTCCTGCTCCGAGACAGCTGGTGACGCGTGTCTTCCTGATAACCATGAGTTTCAGATCTAAGGCAGGGATAAAGGGAAACTGGAAGCTCTCGGAATCTAAATGTGACAGTCGACGGCTGAAGAGAGGGTCAGAAGGAATAGAATCTGTGACATGTATGAGAAAGGAACAAAATTTATCTGCTCTGGTTGCAATGATTAGATGTCTCTTTGTCTGGGTTTCCTTACAGTGGGTGACTGATCGTACCCGCCAGCTGGCTAATGTCATAATTAACAAAGTTGCTACTACATCTGCAAAGTTTAATCGAAAAATTTGCCAGTGATATGATGGCATTGTCTCAGAGATCACAAGGGACATGGAGTCGACTTTTGCTCAAGGTGGAACGACAGAGCCGTGTAGGCAAGATGAGAAATTGTGAACTTGTTCGGCCAAAGGTATGTTTCTTTCATAATTCCACATCCTAAGTTTTCTTATTAAGATTTTTGTTTGATGGTTCATGGTTTCTTTTTTTGCTTCTTGAGTAATTGATTCAGAAGATCCAGATGCTTTTTGGGCATTTATAGCATATTCTCTGAAAGCTTTTTATTTTTCCTAAATCTGTAAATTCATAATATAACTAAGCAGCTTTTGATGATGAAAATGGAATATAAGGCAATAGTTTGCTTGTTGGGTTTAGCTAATTTTTATCAGTTTTCAGAATAAGTATTTGGTAACAGATATCAATGGTACATTTAGATTGTGTAGTGTTGGATTTATTTTGCTCAACAATGTAAAAGCCGCTGCTCTGCATTATTCTATTGTGTCAACCTAGTTCTAGGACAGGAAAAAAAGCAAGTGTAGTTATGGAATATGTAGAGGTTCTATTTTAGTTTCAATACGTGCTCAAAGGAAGGCTAAGGTCTTGACTTTAAGTTGCACAAAGTAATTGGGGCTTTTAAAAACAACATTTATAAGGACGGCTATCTCTTGAAATTATGTGCTATTCTCCACGGCCAGTCTGGTCATAGACTATTTACATCTATTTTCTTTTTACCGTGATTTGTTTTGCTTGATTGAATATTCAAGCTTTGAGGAGTCTCCCAAACCATAGCCTTCCTGTATTGCTAATTAATGAATGTGAATATTGATGAGGAAGGGCACGCATGTCTGTGTATGTGGCTGGGCACTTAATCTAAGTACAAAGAGGGAAGAAGACGTCTCAAAAAATATGCAGAAAGCAAGTTTGGGTTATTTATGCCATGTCACACCACTGTTACAGTACCTAGACAATCAATTTACAATGTAATTGGGGACATGCATTAAGGTTCTTTCCCTCCGTGGTCATACGAGCCACTATATCATGGCAAAATGCAATAATTTGTCTTTTGCCTATTACTATTGTCATTTGTGTTCACAGCAGTTTTTAAATGTCATAAAATAACATTTTGTAAACAAATTTTGCACAGCATGTATATTTTAATAAGCTCATTTAAAGTTTCTCATGGTTTTATTTCTAATCATGGGAGACTAGATATTATCAATATTTTCATTTTAAAATTTGACAATCACATTTTATATACTCAAATAAGAAATGAATCATTTTATGAGATTATGAATTTTAAAGGCTTTGAGTGTCCAGATAATTTTAAATACTGTTTATCAAAATTTTGGTGGAAATTTGACTTCACACATTTCTAGTCGTCGCTAAAATTTAATGACATTGATAAGAGAAACTGGAAGTGGAGATTTAAATTACTATTTTATTATATTCTGGACACCATTTTTACAGGAGAGTGTTATTCTTGTGGTAACTTTTTGGTTCTCTTTATTTTCTTTAACTTTGATTCCCCAACCCTAGCCCAATATCTGGTACATAGTAGGCATTCAGTAGGTATTTATGATGAATAAATCAATGAATATAAGTATTTCCACTGTTATTCAAAGATGGTTAACATTTGCTTCCTTCAAATCAGTAACTTCTGTATGCAGCAAACATTGTGAATAGAAATAAGTAGATGAAAGGCACAATCACAGACAATAGGGAGGATTAAGTTCCTAAAATCATATATTGTTATTTTGACCTAAACCACCATAATATTTTGTGTAATTGAGATTTGGTATCGTCAGAACTCTGTTGGAGTATTGAAGGTCTATGAGGATTAGAAAGTGCCCAGAAAGTGGTTCACAACTGATGTTCCGTTTTTTTTGTTTGTTTGTTTACTTTGTTTTTAAACAGGATTATCTCCTGAGATGTGTAGAAATGAACTGTTGTCAGAGTTTCAAAGGAATTAATGTTTTTTGGTAAAATGTGCTAATGTAAAGAGCTAGAAGATTAGTGACACATAAAGAAGGCAATGAATTCTTTCGCATGGAAATAGGAATATAATAAATGTCCTGCAGGTGACTGGGGCTGTAGCAATTTTATTGAAGATTAAAGTTTGATTGACCTTTGTTAGGGTGATTAACCCTTCTGAAATTAAAAGCCAGAGCTGAATTATTCTGCTCAATTTAAATGCAAACATTGAGCAGGTCCTCTGTCATTCAAATAATAATAATAAGAAAATCTTCCTATTTTAATTTTCATTTTTGCACCTCTGATTGGTATGCTGCTTTAGAGGGACCGTAGCTCTGACAAAAGCACCCTGGTGGCAGAAAATACACAATAACGTTATAGATAATTGGGAGCATATAGGAAAAGTTCTAAGCACTACTCTCTGCATTTGAAACATCTTAAATCACAATCCCAACAAAAGCAGGGAGCATGAAGCCAATCTCCGCACACTGAAAATGCATGTTCCCAATAGAAAAACAACCTAGGGATGTCCTGAAGGGGTTAGGAGTGACAATGGCCTCTCTCTTCTAATTTAGTGCCAACCACTGACACTGCAGATCATATCCATGTTCAGTCTACATGATGTCTCCTGAAAATGCGTGCTTTTTGGTACAGTTGCTTATGAAGCAGTTTCTAAAAGTTGATTATTTCTAATGTCTGGAATTTCATTCTCCATGATCTCTGATAGTTTCTGAATGTATTCAGTACTTTCATTAAGTTAAAAAATGCTATAGGAGATGCTAACTAATTATTTGCAATGCTATTTAATGGTTTATTTTTATTTTTCTTTGTTAAATTTTCTAAGCCTTTGTGAGTAGTTGTGTATTCACATTGCTTCAAAAACTGTTTCCATTTTTCTTATCATATTAATTTTTTTTAGTTCGAAGTCAGTGAATATTTTTAGTTTTAGTTTCCACCACATAGTGAATGCGTCTTCCTTTTATGTGTCTGTGAGCTATTAAAATGATAATAAAGGTTCTCTTCCTTCCACATGTAATTTATTTCTCTCTTTTCATCAAAGAATTCACTCTGAATCTGTCAAGGTAGAAAAGTCCAAGGCATTATGGTGTAAAAATTAAGAAGCCTGAGGTGCTATAGTTTATTTTTGCGTAAGCTTTTCATGTATTCTTTTAACATTCTTCTGAAAGATAGGCTTCTACTCCAAGCCTGTGAAGAAAGTCAAAGATGAAAAACTTGTGATAGAGTGTCTGAGATTATTCAGCGGGCAAAGTCACTCTGGCATCCTCCAGAGAGTTGGATAATACCTTTAAGCATAGATTAATAATATGTTTAACTAAGATCTGTTTGCTGTAAGGATAATTTCCTAATTCTTAATTGTGGGACAAGTATTCAATCATGAACTGTAAACAAATACGTTGTTCTGTACCTTGTCTGATAAAGTGTAGATTATCAGTTTTAGCTTCAGTACATTGAATTGTTAAACTTAAAAAAACTAAGTTGTTTCATGATAAGACTTGTTTTCTTATTTAAGACAATTTTAACTAAAAGATAAACATGACCACTAAATTATATCTCTAAAATAAACACTGTTAATTCTTCAGACATAATTTTATTATCTTCTCTAATTTGGATTAATCTTATTTTACCTCTTACCAGAACTAAATAAAAATAATCATCAGTATTAAAATTTGCTATAAATACAACATTCTCTAAAGTACAAAAAGCTAATGCGCTGAACTACATCCTTCTCTACACTGTCATTAACGATTAGCAGTCTTTTTATTCAAGAAAATCATGGATTTGGAAGGTGAAATTCATATTGTCTCAATGTAGAAAAAAGTGTTGGTGAAAGAACAAAGGAAAATAAGATTATATTTTGCTAAATCCCAAATCCAGTAATTTATTTTGCTTCAGTGTGCTTCGAAGACATTTTATTTCTATATGTTGCGTTTGTTTTCTGTCAATCGATTTCCACCTAATCCACTCAGTCCCAGTCATGACATTTTCTCTTATAGTTGTGAAATAACATTCTTTGCTATGAATAAGCCAAGATTAATCCATTTGATATTTCATAGACTGCATATTTTAGCTGGCGCACTTCTGTTTAAAAAGCAGACTGTTTTAAAAAGTGACTAATGGTGGTATTTTATTTGTTATGCATTGTTTATGAGGCAGCAATTTAGTTAAATATTACAGAAATTTAGAGTAGCTGTATTATGAGCAATTTTATTCTGCCGCACTAAGGAGAGATAGTGTCAGATTCAAGAATTTTCTAGTTTTTTAAAATTATTCATGGTAAAAAAAGTAGTCATATGAATTTTTCAAGATTATCCTCTTTAACAGACAATAATTTTAAAATAAAATTTTTTGATTGCTAATGGCCAATGAAATTACTTTCTTGTAATTTGTTTAATACAATAATAAAAAAATGCTCTAGAAACAGTAAGTGTCCCAATATTAACTTTCCAACTTAAGTAGGAAGATTAGTTTTCTAGGGCTTGTTTTCCAGTAAGTTGAAAGGTGACCTAATATAATATGGTGGTCTATGGCCTATTTCATACAATCTATGCTATTTGTATTAAAATTATCATGCTATCTCTATGTATTACTTTGGAATCAGAAAACTTTGTAAAATGATACTTTTATCTTAAGTGTCTTCAGCATTAGCATTTCTAGAGCCATCATTTACTAACCTTTATTCAGTTTCAACAAGCCTTTATTAAGCACCTACTATGTTTTAGGTACTCCCCCGATCCAGTGAGGTGAACCTATGAGCCGTGTATAAACAAGAAACTCACACTCAGATTGGTGAAGGTTTTACCTGAAGTCAGATAGCTAGCCAGTGGCACAGCCTGGTTTGGAAGCTGGTGACATATCAAGCCTTTCCTTCACCAAAGCTGTCTTTGGGATAATCATAACATCCCGCTTTGCTAAAACTTGACCGTGAGAACAGGATTCTTTAAACCCTTTCCCCAGAAAAAGGAATTTACTAAAACTCAGGAACTACAAAGAGATAATTAATTCTCTACTGATTCACTCTGGAGGAAGTAAGAGAAAAGGGGGTTTAGAGTGCTTTGGGCAATACACTGGTACACCTGTGCAATGGACATTACTCAGTGGGCTCATTTCACAGAGAGAAGAAATTTTCCTTCCCAATTATTAATAGTTCATTGAAAACCAATCATTAGGCTCTTTAAAAAATTGTCTTTACTCACGCCTGTAATCCCAGCTCTTTGGGAGGCTGAGGTGGGCAGATCATGAGGTCAAGAGATGGAGACCATCCTGGTCAACATGGTGAAACCCTGTCTCTACTAAAAAAATAAAAAAAATTAGCTAGGCGTGGTGGCACACGCCTGTAGTCACAGCTACTCGGGAGGCTGAGGCAGGAGAATTGCTTGAACCCGGGAGGCGGAGGTTGCAGTGAGCGGAGATTGTGCCACTGCACTCCAACCTGGCATCTAGCGACAGAGCAACACTCTGTCTCAAAAAAAAAAATTGTCTTTAAAATCTTTTGTTAACCTATCTTTTAAAATTCATAAATAATGATGTTTAACAAAATCTTAAAGTCAGAGCATCTGTCCTCCCTCATATGGTTTCATTGGTGTGAGCAGTTTGACAACCTGTTGATAAATATGTCTCCATATTTTATAGTTCCTGCTCTTGAAACTGAGTATAAGTGTGTTGGATGTCTATGCTGTGAGAAATTGCCCAATTGTTTATGGCAAATGCATTTAAAGAAATATGTGGAAATATTATTTTTGATAAATACCAAAAAATAAATATAGAAGTACAGTATCGCTGCATTGTGAAAAAAAAAGAGAGATCATGCAAAATAACTTTAAAAACATTTTTTCTCCTTTTCTGACTTATGAAAATAAAAGAATTAACCTGAGTTAGGCAAAAAATAGACTTCTGCAAAATTTGGGATTGACAGATGCATTTTCACTTAGTGATTTCATTACCCTTCTCATTGTTGATTCATTCTCATTGTTGGTTTGTAAACTCTCCGAAGTTGACACAGAGAAGTGTGATCAGTCTAAATTCATCTCTATATTTATTTTCAGGGCCTAGAAGAGACCCTGATATGTGGTAGACACTGAGGAAGTGTTTGTTAACTTGGATTGAAAGTTAGCATTAAGATAAAGCTAGGGACACTGAGCCCAGTACTTCATTATAAAGGCCTGGTGTTTACACTTAGAAATAAACTTAAGCTTCAAAGTCTGAAAGAGAAAAAAGAAGCAGGAATTTGTGAATATGTTTATTAGATACAAATAATCTCCACCTAGATAATTTGTTTGTTTTTGTTTGTTTGTTTTGTTTTGAGATGGAGTGTCACACTGTCACCCAGGCCGGAGTGCAGTGGTGCAATCTCAGCTCATTTGCAACCTCTGTCTCCTGGGTTCAAGCAGTTCTCCCGCCTCAGCCTCCTGAGTAGCTGAGATTACAGGCACCCACCATCATGCCCAGCTAATTTTTTTTTTTTTTTTTTTTTGTATTTTCATAGAGACGGGGTTTCACCATGTTGGCCAGGCTGGTCTTGAACTGCTGGCCTCAGGTGATCCACCTGCCTCGGCCTCCCAAAGGGTGATTCTTGTATCTACTTCAGATGCTTTTAAAAATGATCCAGATTTCTTTACTTTAGCTTTAACTTATGCCCCTAAATCTCTCCGTAGCCAGAAATTGTTAGTCACTAGTCAGTTACAACTTCACAACAATAAAATTAGTTTTTCTGAACTGATTAAAATATTTAATCAAAATGATCAGTTTGGTTTATGTTTGTAGAGAGAGAAGAAAAACAGCTTAGAGTCTTCATTCTGAAAATGAATGAAAAAGCAACTAAAGGGTATTGTGTAGAATCAGAGAAGTTGAAGAATATTTGCAGGAAAATAAATTGCTATTGTGATTCTAATTACAAATGAAAGTGTTTTGTAGCAGAGAAAATTAAAGCATGTAATAAAATGAAACATACTGAGAGAATCTTCCCTAAGAGCTGCTAGACAAGATGGAAGAGCAAGTTTGACCAACATCCTTTCTAAGTATATAAATACTTGAGAATTCATTAACCATTTGAGTCCTGCTTGATGGTTAAACCCTTAGGCAGATGTGAATCAGCTTTACTATGTGGAAACATTGAGGAAAACATTTATGAAAAATATGATCCAATTTCTGAAAATATAGGCCAATTAAAGACTGAGATTTAATTCAGGAATTTTACTCTGCATAATGTATATATTAATGATGATTTTCTTGTCTCATTCTTTATCTTCACAAGCAAAAGGAGATTTTTACTTATTGACATATTACTGAAGAATCTCGCTTTTTTGCAAAATTACACATTTTTTTGCATAAATGTGCCCAATTACCTGAATTCAGTTTTGATTAGCAGTGTTAATTGATGCAGCTGTGGATGGTATCTGTTTACCCAAATTACCATGTGCAAACAGCAATATGTCTGGAAGTGAATATGCTAAACTGAAAATACTAATTAGGTAAGACAGATTGTTATTCAAGTCACATCGTGGAGCTTTCTAATGAAAGTCTGGATGTGTCAGGGTTTCATGATATTCAGAAAGAAATGTCTATATTATATATGATTTCTAAATTTAATTCATAAGAACAGATGGGATGTCAGCCGGAGTTCTTCTGCCTTATTCTGGTATTAATGTGAATATTTTGCTCAACTGGAGATATATTCATGTGTTTTTTTGTGGGAAACTCATCATGTGCTTTGACAATATGCCAGCCCTGTATATCCAGACACAGGATATTTTTGATCAATATATTTGAAGATTATATCCACCTACCATCACAAGGATGAAGACGAATAAGCCATCTTGCAAGTTTCATCACATCAGCTGGTTAATTTAATCAAATTAAATAATAGAAAGGTTAGTTAAACAGGCAGCTTAACTGAATAATATTTTATGAATGTTTTCCTTTTGCACCCCCCAAAAATAATAATAAAGGTTTGATCCTAGGATTCTTAAGAATCAGTGAGCAATTCACAGGACACAGAAAGGTGAATTCTC